TGAAGACATAAACCTGAAATCAAAACATAGCAAAATTTCTTCCGAACCTAGTGTGAATTTGTACCATGTGATGAAGATGTTATGAATTTTGTTACGTCATCATGACGTTATCATATATCAAATTATAGGCGATTTAAGGGCACAATTTGACAAAATAGTTTTGAACTATATCTCCTGAAATAAATAGAGTAACGTGTTCATTTTTTCGTGAGGTTGTAGACGGTGCCTTGAGCAAATTTTTTTATTCCCAGGCTCAAATCTACGTGACCTTCACTTCCTGTTTTATGGGAAGTGCAATAGAAATTGAATCTAACTCTAAAATGGAAGCATTTTACTTCAGACAATACATAATGGAAGTGTTATTTATGTGAAGAATGCCAAACATAAAAAAAACATCATTTTGACGTCATCCCCGAAAGGACGCCCTCTTACGATACATCAAAAAGATTTTAATATTTTAAAATGTTTAAACCTTCGATCAAAATGCTACCAAATTGCCCCTATATATTCTGCTAGCAACCACAAATGAATATTGAGGGAACTGTAACATCAGAAAGCATCCTTGCAATAAAAATACAAATTAAGACATAAGACCTAAATACTGGTACAATCCCTTTAAATAATTTTTTTTTGAAATAAACCTTCTGCCCCAAAATTTTGGCAGAAAGTGGCCATCAGGAAGCCTCAGATTGCACCACAGAGCATCTAGTATCCAAAATGTTCCAAACCCACGCATTGGTTATACATCATCACAACGTCTGATCTGCGAACGAGTGACGCCATTGTTATTTAATTGCATTCCTGGGTATGCCAGTGATTGTGTCTCAGCGCGGAACAGCACCGAACTGGCTGGGGGCTGCCCATTGAGCTGCGATGATCTTTCCCACCATCGGAAGCAACCCCTAGCGCCTTACTGTGCGCCAATTGAGTTAGACTTATAACTGGTAGACTGTTGCTTCCCCTGTTTTATCCACACCATTTGGCAAGGCTGGAGTGTCCTCTCCAGGCCGCAGGCCTGGGCTGATTTCTATGGAGGAAAGGCTGTAGCCCATTCAGTGGATCCCCCTCTCCGCGTCAGTGATGGGTCCCAAGGAAAGGCAGAGGCCAGTACGATTTAGGATCAGAGATGCCGCAGGAAGATATATAGCACTTGGAAAAATGCACTTTTAATGTGATGTAACTTGATACCTGGTGACGTCATGGCAACGAAAATATCGGGGACCATCTTCGGCCGGTGGTCTAAGTGTCTGCCAAGTCTAAAGTCAATCACATACGAAAATGCAAAGTGTACGGTTTGAAGAAAACGTGTACAAAACCTATGGAGACAAATTGCACCTTTAGGGTGATGTAACTTGACACGTGATTACATCATTGCAATGAAAATCTTTGGCATACATGTACATCTTTAAGTGGAAGCCTAAGTGTATGCCAAGTCTGAAGTCGATTGAATTAACGAAAGTGCCAAAAGTGTATGTGTGGAAAAAAACATGTTCAAAACATGTAGAGAGGAGCCTGAAAAAGAAAAAAATAAAGGGGAAAAAAGGGGGGGGCATGGAAAGAGAAAAAAACAGGAGCTGTTTCGGAGCATTGTACTCTGAAACCGCTAAAAAGAACGAGAGTGAGCCAAATAACATTCATAGCAGTGAAAGCCATTTGTGTACATTGTACATATGCTTTTAATATGTAACTCAAACTTCGGATATCTTGAAATTTGTATCCATTCTCTTTAGAGTTGACTTATTGAGATTTCACTCTAAGTTTGTAAAATATCTCAAAATTCTTCAACATCTGAAGTAATATTTCTTGCAGCAATACTTGTATTTGAGCCTGATGTCAACATTTTAAATCCAGTCTTGGCCTTTCAAAAAGAAGAATTTTGAATACCAATACTCTAATCTATATTTTTAGAGTGTATGTGTGCATGGAATTACAAGATGCCTTACAGGATGCCTACAAGACCATCATTCGACCAGGACTCGGCAAGTCTGATTATCATGTAGTTCACTTGTTGCCTAAATATTGACAAAGATTAAAGAGTGACAAACATCCCAGAAAGACAGTACGTGCTTGGAACCAGATATCAATTGAAACGCTTCAAACAGCTTTTGAGATCACCGACTGGCAACTGCTTTTGAACTCAGGAAAAGATATGATGAATGTGCGGACATAATAAATGGCTATGTTGGTTTCTGTGAGCATCTTCACATTGAAACAAAGACTGTTACGCACTATCCAAATAATAAACCATGGGTAAAACGAAATCTGAAATCGATCATGCAAGAAAAAAGACAAGCGTTTGGACAGGGCGATGTGGCAAAAGTAAGTGAGTTAAATCAAAAACTCAAAGAGGAGATAAAAGGTGCGAAAGAGAGATATCGGGAGAAATTGGAGAGCTGTCTTCAAGCTAACAATCCAAGAGGAGCATGGAACTGTTTAGAAATGATGACTGATTACAAAAAGCGTAAAGACAACGTCTTTCAAGGTACGGACAATGCAAAACATAAGGCGGATGAGTTAAACAAGTTTTACTGCCGATTCGATACTCAAGATTTCTCAAACAAAATAGAGGAACAACGGAACGCACTGAGCTCATTGCATGATGCACCAATCTCAGTAGATGAGCAGGAAGTCTACAAACGTTTCAAATCAGTCTGTCCATGAAAACCGAGCGGGCCAGATGGAATATGCGGACGAGTGCTCAAAGCATGTGCTCGTCAACTTGCCACACCATACCGGACACTATTCCAGATGTCCATTGACCAACAGCGCATTCCTTCATGCTGGAAAGCCGCAGTCATCACACCTGTAGCTAAGAAGCCACGTCCTGTAGAGAATAATGACTCTCGGCCAATTGCATTCACATCGGTTGTCATGAAATGTCTTGAAAGAATTGTCTTACATAATCTCATTCAGCCTATCCAAGAACGAATTGACACTTACCAATTTGCATACCAAGCAAACAAGTTAGTCCATGATGCGGTTTTGTCTTTCACTCATGCCATTTACCAACATTTAGATAAGCAGAAATGTTACACCAGGGCACTATTCATCGACTTTTCGTCTGCATTCAACACAATACAACCACATCTTTCGATTGAGAAACTCACATCCCTAGAGGTAAAACCTTCACTAATTCTCTGGGTATGCAACTTTCTCTCTGCCAGAACTCAGCGAGTGAAAGTGAATGGTACTCTTTCAGAGACCATTGTAACGAACACAGGATCACTTCAGGGATGTGTGCTTCACCAAGTCTCTTTATAATGTATACTAATGACTGTGTTTCTTTGTATAATTTAGTGAACATTTTGAAATACACGGATGACACTGTCATCCTCAGGCTTATTGATACAAGTGATGAAGACGATTACAGGCGATCCATACAGGGATTCAGTGTTTGGTGCATAGACAATTATCTTGAACTTAACCCTGACAAAACTAAAGAAATGGTGTTTGACTTTAGGCACAAGAAGGCAAATAATCCCTTAACCAGTTCAGTTTGTATCGCAGGGGTTAACATTGAGATTGTACAAAGTTACAAATACTTGGGAACAATCATTGACAGCAAGCTATATTGGAGTAAACACTCCCTCACAGCAAAGGGAAATCAGAGGTTATATTTCTTGCATAAGCTACGTTCTTTTCAGGTCGATAGGGTCATTATGAGTCTGTTTTACATCTCGGTCATAGGAAGTGTCATCATCCACGACTGTGTAGTTTGGTACAATGGAGCAATGAAAAAGGACAAAGACAAACTGAAAAGGGTTGTGAAACAAGCATCAAAGATTGTGGGAATGGGAATAAATTTGGATGAAGTCTGCAGGGAGAGGGTACTAACTAAGGCTCTTCTTAGTGTGGTGGAAAATGGTGCGCATCCCCTCAACACATACTTCAAAATGCTTAGTAGTGGTAGGAGATTTCAGTCGGTAAGGGCAAGAACAAACCAGTATCTCAATTCATTTGTACCATTTTCCATACATCTCCTCAATGATCAGCACTGATGCAACAAACATCTTTAAAGGGAATATAACATTTGCAAACATCGAAAAATAAAACTACCAAGTTTTTACAAAATACCTTACTAGGATGTTGGTAAATGACAATCTAAAGCATCCTGTAAAATTATGGCACCAGGTGTGAAGTCATTTTCAAGAAAATTGTATTTTTGAATACATTTCCAACGGTGGTCGGCCGACCACCGTTGGAAAAACCTAAATATTTTTCAACTACTGCTCCAAATTTACCCTTTTTTCAGTCTAAAATGTGTTTGCTATTTGTTAAATGTTCATGAACGGGTGCAGAGCAGCTAGACTGGTTCCCTTACTTTACAATTTTCTGGCATCTATAAATTGATCCATTTTTATCTTTAGTGGAGTCAGGGAACCAGACTACTTGAAAATCTTTGTTTTTCTTGGTTTTTCCAGCATTTTCGAACACAAAATTTCAAACATATCAGTACAATATTTGATCTATTATACTAACCCCTCAAATAGTTCATTTCTGAAAATTACAGCAAAAGCCAATGATGTACATTACCATTAATTACACGTACAGTATCTTATCATTATTCCAATCTCCAACACAGTCAGGTTTTCATTTTCATGCTGTTTTTCAGGATCTGTCATTTTGACTGATATGCTTAAATATTTATTTTCATAGTAATAGTAAGTATTATTTTAGTAATTTGCTTATTTAAATTTTCTGGATTATATTAATGAATTATCTATTATCTATGTATTGCATGTGACAAGACAAATTTCCTGGAAGGACCAATAAATTAAATTGAAATTGAAATTGAAAATGTTTAAATACTGGGAATACTGTGCTCAGAACCAGATTTACATAAGAAACTGAAGAGAGTCTTCACTTGGCATGATTTGTGCTGGTAGACTACAACATGTGCAGTTTCTAGAAGCCCCTTGCTGATGTTCATCCTCATGTTTATAAACATTTTACAATTATCAATGTGTTGACTTATCCATCATTAACTTTTCAAATTTCAGGATTGGAACAGAAGTGCCCTTTTCAAAGAGAGGACGTTATGGGGTCATATATAATTCTGTGGCAAGTCAATTGGCACCTTATCATGTGGAACTCGAAGCAGACTCAACTTCTGATATCACTGAAGAAAAGATGCTTCAAAAGGTAAGCCATGCTATTGAAAGTGTCAAATCTGTTGGCCAGTCTGTTTGAATTGAAATTTCACACATACACAAATTTGTATCGTTGTGGAGACGGAGCATCAAAAAGCTCTTTTTTTTTAAATGCTACTATTTTAAAGGGAATGTACATCATTGGCTTTTGCTGTAATTTTCAGAAATGAACTATTTGAGAGGTTAGTATAATAGATCAAAATATTGTTACACTGACACTTTTGAAGTTTTGTGTTCGAAAAGGTTGGAAAAACCAAGAAACAAAAATGTTCAAGTAGTCTGGTTCCCTGACTCCACAAAAGATAAAATGGATCAATTTATAGATGATTGAAAATCGTAAGGCAATGGAACCAGTCTAGCTGGCCTGCACCCGTTCATGAACATGTAACCAATAGCAAACAAAATTTGGACTGAAAAAATGGTTTATTTGGAGCAGTAGTTGAAAAATAGATAGGTTTTTCCAACGCTGGTCGGCCGACCACCGTTGGAAATGTTTACAAAAATACCATTTTCTTGAAAATGACTTCACACCAGGTGCCATACTTTTACAAGATGCTTGAGACTGTCATTTACCAACATCCTAGTAAGGTATTTCGTAAAAACTTGGTAGTTTTATTTTTCGATGTTTGCAAATGTTGTATATTCCCTTTAAAGGGAATATACATCATTCGCTTTTGCTGTAATTTTCAGAAATGGATGGAATTGGGGGGTTGGAAATATATAGCAAATATAGTTACACTGACTTTTTTGAGGTTTGGGGTTCGAAAATGCTATAAAAACCAAGAAAAACAATCATTTTCCTGTAGTCTGGTTCCCTGACTCCATTTAAGAAGAAACAGAGCAGTTTACATACATTTGGGAATTGTAAGGTCAGGGAACCAGTTTAGCTGGCTTGTACCCGTTCATAGGTGTGTAATCGATTGCAAACAAGTGCGATGGTCAACTGGGGCCAGTATTTTGAAAAATTAGACGATCAGCGTTGGAAATTGATACAAAAATACCACTTTTCTTGAAAATGACAGTATACCAGGTGCCATGATTTTACAGGATGCTTTACACTGTCATTCACTTACTAACAGTCCAGCAAGGTATTTCAAAACGAAGTGGCTATCGTTACGGCAGTCCTTGTTTAGCGCCCTCTACGATACTTTTTTGATACGCACGCAGGTATATAATTATTTGTTCCCACACGATTTGGCGAGCAGTGCGACAGCTCAGTCGATATAGGGTAGGATTTTGCATCGCGAGGTTGCGGGTTCGAATTTCAGTTTTGCACTCGAATTTTCTAACCTGAGGCTTTGGAGGATTTTTTTCTAAAGGGAAATTAAGTCCGAATTTCATAACATTCAAATTCACTTTTTTCCTTCTAATTTTATATTTTCTTGTCATGTTTTTATAAAAGTTGCAGTCTACCGTAACGATAGAAAATGGGAAATGCGTTACGGCTGCCGTAACAATAGCCACTGCGATTTCAAAATGTTTTGGTAGTTTTATTTTTTGATGTTTGCAAATGTTGTGTTTTCCCTTTAACCAGAATTACTTTTCCAGTTTGAAATTCCGGCCCAATATCCCTTACATAAAATAGTTTAATTTGCGACGGATAAGTATACCTTGGAAATTCCTAGTTTTGGAGGAAAATCCATACAATACAGTTTAAAATTAATTGGAACCCACGTGTGTTATATGCATTAATGTGTGTTGATTAACGCGTGGGATTAAAAAAAATTGCTACAGACAATAAGTGCAAGAAGTGCCATAAATGAGTGGACAGACATTCACATGCATGTGTGATCATGGCTAACCGCACTTCTCCGCACGTGGCACCCATGAACAGAAAGGTTAACAGTTATTTCTCTTCGATATGAATTTGTTTCCATTAATACACTGTCATCCCAATCACATAAACGAATACTTCATGTACATGTTATTACTTTTACCTTATGTCTCACTAACAGGTTCATGGTATATTAAATATCACAAAGTGAGGTATTTATTTGTGAAATACAAAGGCAGCCGGCACCGCGCACGTTGTCCACATGGCCTGTCTGTCACTATTTTTTTTTCTCTGACGCAACACTCAATTTGATTATGAGAATCAGGTTTCATATCATCGTAGGAATTTTCGCAGCAACTGAAAACGGTATGCAACTCCTGACTATTTGAAATTGTTATCATAAAATCCATTTTGAAAAATGAGAAAAGTTTCAGAACCATCTTTCAAAAAGTTTGTCACAAATTATTTTCTCCTCCGTCAATTGTTTTGCTTGTTTGGTTTTTTTTCTTGTACGTAGGCATTTAAATAACATTTTCACAAAACAAAAACAAAATCATATTTCTGCCTGAAATACATACGGTATATTCATGCAGTTTAAAGTTTTATTTTCTCCTTTCTTTTTATAGCTGGAAGAAGCAGCAGGAACCATATCCAAAGTTATGGAAATAAGTGACATAGAGGGTAGACAGGAAAGAGGTTTTACACAAACACAATTGCAGAATACTTCAGGTAGAATTGCTGGCAAATCAATTACAACTACAAAAATGGCTGCAGTGAGTTCTCGGGGTGCACCAGTAACTTTTTCGCCTGATGTTTCTGATGCAATAGCTGATGTGAGGTAAGATGCATGTACTTTGGGCCCTGTTCATTCGTTTTCAGCCATTGTTATGTTACCCTTTTTAATATTCATTTATTTTTTAAATCGCAACATCATGAAAAATATCGGATATTGTGATATTATCGTGATGACGTAATTTTTCCATTCATGGAACCATGATGGAACAATGGAATAATTAAAAGAAATACGACCGAAGTCGCCAATGCATCAAGGTAGTCCCGATGGTCCAAATAATTATGTCCTGAACAAAATCGTCTATTTCATTTGTCTAGTCTCATAAACTTTGCCAAGAAGAAAACGCACATTCAAAAATCATAAAAATTTACCTTAAAATGTTTGATAAATGTGCAAATAGAAATGGATCTCACGGGGAAAGAACGATGGTAGTATCCAATGCACAGTGCGACGGGCATTTGGAAGCCATTTTACATCACTGGTTGTCGCACGCACGAAACATAAAACACATACTGGAGCCATAAGCAGCGGCGATCAGAACCAAAGAATAATTCCCTGTGATAACAGGATTGTTTCAGTTATTATAGCCACTAAAACTGTGATCCAATAAATAAATATAAACCTTGTGCTATGTAGAAGGGAATTTCTCAACATGAGAAATATACCTGCACCTAAAACATTACGTGATGGAGTCATGCCAATCATCAAAGAATAATACGGCCATTCAACACGTATAAGTTCATGGGAATTTCCCAAGATGAGAAATATGCAAGCCACTTGACCGGCGACACAGTACACGTGCACACGTCATGCATAATGCATGAAGTGGACTCCATTTACATTCGGGTGGACTACGTACAACCTGGGGCAGCATACAATGCCACAAATGTGATGGAACTGAGGTCACATTTAAAGAATAAACAGTGTTCCATATGAAACATTTCTTTATGAAATGTCAGAGACTTTATTTCCATTTGGCTACCAGGACCCCCCCCCCCCCCCGACAAATGGAAAGATCTCAATTCATTAGAGGCATAGCTCAACGGAAAGACGTAACCATGAAGACGTATGTGATTATGTTTTCTCTTTGTGTAACCATGGAGGAATAACAATTTATTCCTCCAAGGTGTAATGGTCTACAACGTGGTCAGTGGGGCAAAATTCAGTACAATCTGGTTAAAAAGACCGTCCGGATTGTGTTGCTTGTTTACGCATGGGACACACAGAATCCAATACGCGTACGTTAGTCAGTTGGTACCGCCCCTAAAAACATCGCGATAAGAGTGAATTTGCGGTTTTTCATGGGAGCCCTTTACTGGCACTTTTTGCACTCCAGTGGTTACTTCAATGGTTACAGAAGCGGTACTACAAAAGGATATTGCAATATTTTTTGGCATATTGTATTTCATGATATTCCGATTTTGTCTTTTAAGAGATCAATATGATTTCCGATATGGAAATATAATCGAATTATCGAGAAATATCGTCAAATCGAACAGGCTTATTCTTTTGACCTTCTGGTTTTGGACCATAAGTGTGCTTTTCCGCCCTATCCGGCAGTCATCTAATTTTGAGCCGGAGAATTCCTCCGGAAATTTCACTTTCTCTTTGCTTATGGCAGAGGTGGCAGCAAGTCATTTTTTGCAAGTCCAAGTCAAGTCACAAGTCATTGTTTGCAAGTCCAAGTCAAGTCACAAGTCATTAGGTCCAGTCACAAGTCAAGTCACAAGTCATTAGGTCCAGTCACAAGTCAAGTCACAAGTCATTTGGTCTAAAAACAAGTCAAGTCACAAGTATCTTTGTCCAAGAACACGTCAAGTTGCACATTATTTTGTCCAGCTGTAATAAGCTAAAAGAACCTGGCGTCAACTTACAAGTTATTTTGAACATGCCTCCTTAATTCCCCTTTTTCAATGTGTTGCAATTACTATTCTTGTAGTTTATCACATATCTGTTGGATATTAGCCTTTTGTATACTTTAATAAATTTACTTAACATTGTAGAAATAAATGTTGAGATGACATGAAAAAAAGACTTCACTCACTCGATTACATATACTAACACTTTATTGTTCAATTTTCATGTATACTAAACGCCGACCAATGGGTTAGGCTATCCGGTATTTTACATGCAATTGACAAAGGCCTGCTTTCTTTTCATAAAAGCTTCCTTTCAAAGTTGTTCAACCATTACATGAAGCAAGAGACTTGGTCATTGAAAACTGTAGTTTGTTGTGACAGTCTTATTGAACACTTTTGAAACTAGTGGGAACTATTCATTTTACTGGATTCAGTCACTGAGGTCTATTTTCTGGAATGAAACTTTCTCGCTGCAACTATAAACTGCATTTATAAACACCTTGAGTGGCCTTTTTGGGCCTTGTGTTGGGCGACTTCAATTGAAAAAAAAAAAAATTTTTTCATGTACAAACTGTTACACTTCAAATAAACAAGATTTGATAGCATAGTATCACTCAGCTTTGCTCTGTGTGGCCTCATAATTATTCCTCCATGACTGAATACACGTTCGATGGGGAGCTAGTAGCAGGAACAGACAGCACTTTCATAGCAAGAGGAAAGAGTCTGGGGAGGCTGTTCTTATTTACCAACCAGAAGTGCAGGCAGGCATTACGCAACGTAACAGCTCAGCTCACTGATATGATATACAGTTGCAGCTGCGCGAAGTAGAAACCGCGCAAGCCAAAGTCTGTTTTTTAATGCATGTAAGGCGTAAACCGAATAGCTAATTAAAAGTATAATAGCTTAATTAAAGTGTATTGGGTCGCTCGAGTAGCGTCTGACTTGGGTTGGTAACAAGTCATTTTTTGCAATCCCAAGTCAAGTCACAAGTCATTGTTTGCAAGTCCAAGTCAAGTCACATGTCAAAGCTGGTATTTACAAGTCAAGTCACAAGTCTCAAAAATAGCGACTCGAGTCCGACTCGAGTCCAAGTCACATGACTCGAGTCAGCAACTCTGGCTTTTGGTAAGCACAACCATGCGCTGAGTGGGAACGTGGGCGCCTCTAGAACCTGTGGTGAGTGTCCTTTTCATTATAACTTAGCGGGAAACCTGTGTTTTTGCAACACTTTCACTCACAAACTTTCCAATTTTGCAGTGTCGTCGTCATAGCTGCAATCGTGCATATTCCCACACACACACAGGTTGTACTTACATGTATATGCACAGCAGCGTATGAAGTCGCGATGTGTGTGTGTGACCTTTGACCGCCATTGTGTGTACACAGCCACCATGTATTTTGACTGCAGTGTTGACGTGTCTTTTTTTCCATAGGCAGTATGTAGACGCGGTCCACTGAGACCTGGGGATCTTTTCCTGATGATCTTTTTTCAGCTTGATCTTTTCCTGAGCTGATGATCTTTTAGAACAGCATCCTTATTTCCTGTACCCATCTTTTTTATGAAACTGGATCTTTTGGCTTTGAGGATCTTTCTTTACATCATGACCGGGATCCCCACATCATACCAGCTCATACTGGGGAAGTAATTCTTGGGATCAACAGCTGTCAATTAAGTGCAACTGATTCACTCATTGTTATTCTGCTGATTTCTACTCTGATTTGCTGATGTACGTATGCCTGATTTACTTAATTTTGCTGATGATTGAATAAATTCTCTATTAATTGCTAAAATTGAACTGAACTGGTGATTCTGTGTACTTCACCTGGACAGCTTCCAATTCACACACTCATCCTAATTTAGTTTGAGATCGAACTCCCTTCATCATGCTGGACACCACAGTACTATGGGCAGCCATTAGGGCAAAAAAGACAAGAACAAAAATAAAACAAAATACACAGAAATTAACGAACAACTCAGAAATGAATGAACAACTCGGAAATAAACGATCAACTCAGAAATAAACGATCAACTCAAAAATAAACCATGTACCGTACAGTAGAAATAAACAATCTACTCAGAAATAAATGAACAATTTAGAAATAAACAAACAACTCAAAAATAAACGAACAACTCAGAAATAAATAATCTACTCAGATATAAACGACCAATTCAGAAATAGACGAACAACTCATAATAAAACGATTAACTCAGAAATAAACGATCAACTCAGAAATATACGATCAACTCAGAAATATATACAAACTCAGAAATAAACGAACAACTCAGTATAAAGCCCGGGAAGGGACAGGCCAGAATTTTTTTTTTCTCTAATTTGCTGATTCGTTCCCGCGAATTACTAATTCAATCGCACGAATTGCTAATTCGTTCCCACGAATTGCCAACTCGTTCCCACAAATTACTAACACATTCCCGGATGCACGAGTTAGCAATTCGTTCCCACAAATTAGGAAATTGTACGAAATAGCAATTCGTTCCCACAAATTAGCCAATTCGTGCACATGAAATAGCAATTCGTGCGAAAGAAATAGCAATTTGTGCAAACGAGTTAGCAATTCATGCAAATAAATTTGTAATTCATGGGAACGAGTTAGCAATTGTGGGAACGAATTAGCCAATTACAAAAAAAAACATTTCCACCCTGTCCCCTCCCGGGCTTCATAACTCAGAAATAAACGAAGAACTCAGAAATAAACGAACAACATCCCAAGGGTTGCAAGCAGCAGTACGCGCCCACCATGTACCGTACAGTACAGTAGTGAAGACGACATAATGTTTACCACGGCATCCAAAATGGTGGACACCTTGCATCGCTTCACGCGATGAACACGTAGAAAAAAATGGGGGTACAAAATGTAGTGATTTTTCGTCGACGACATCCGAAGCCAGAAAGAAGTCTATGCGAAAGGTAAGCCTGGGTTGCAGTTTAATTTTTATGATAAAAAACGTTGACTTTGTAAATGTTTACCATCACATTCTGTCATGTCTAGTCTGTACGTCATGTGTACGAATGGTATGCCAATACCGGCCGGGTTTGGGCACATGTATTCGGCTGGGATGGCGTGGCGTGGCACTGCGCCATGACCACGGTGGTCAGACTGGAAAGAATTCATATACATACGCCACTAGTTTTTCCCTGCAATGACTTAGTACTAGTAGCCATCAGA